ATATATAAATATCTAAAATGGAATATTATTCAGCCATAAAAATGAATGAAATCTTGCCATTTGCAACAACATGGATAAAGCTAGAGAGTATGCTAAGGGAAATAAATTAGAGAAAGATAAATATATGATCTCACTCATCTGTGGAATTTAAGAAATTTAATATTTTTAATGTTTTAATGAGCAAAGAAAAAAAAGGAGAGAGACAAAGGAAAAGAGGAAAAACAACAACAAATAAAAGCAAAGAAAAAAAAGAGAGAGAGACAAAACAAGAAACAGTCAATTACAGAGAGAAAATTGATGGTTACCAGAGAGGAGGGGGGAGCGATGGCGGAAATAGAGGATAGGGATTAAATGGAAAAAAATAAATTAAAAAGTTAAAAAGAAGAAAAATAATTAGAACAATATTGCATAGGTTTTAAAGTAAATGGGTAATTTTAACTCCTTGAAATTATAACAAATTGCTTAGTTTTACTCAAAATATTCAATTTTTAATATATGATTATGTATATTTAAATTTATGCAATATAATTAAACTGGGTTAGAAAAAATTCACATAAATATTTGACATGAAAAAAGCAAATGAATGAAATAGACGTATAACTCAGAAATTTGGACAAAGTTGTTAGAGAAATCAATGAATTTTTAACTTACAAAAGAAAGGCATTACCTATGTAAATATGTTAATAAAGTAGGACAGATAAAAATGAATGCTTTTAAAATAAATGCAATGTCATTCTCTTTGGGCATAAAGGAAAGGCTAGTTAAATTGTCCATCAACTACTGAACAACAGAACAAAATATGTAATTCATCAAATACAAGTTCAAAGAGTAAACACAAAATTCACTCTAAATATGCCATATGTATTCAATAAAGTGCAATATATTTTATGTCTATCTTCTTAAGATAATTAATTTTTCTATCTTCTTAAGATAATTAATTTTTCATGCATATGTGCTAATTTATCACACTACTAATGGTCATAAGTTATTTTTATGCTTCGTTATTACAAAATTTACGTGTAGAATACTTCTATATAATACATTTCCAGAAGTGTGATTGCTGAGTCTTAAATGAGCATTTATTTTTTTTTAAAGATTTTATTTATTTATTTGAGAGAGAGAGAATGACAGACAGAGAGCAGGAGAGGGAGGAGGGTCAGAGGGAGAAGCAGACTCCCCACCGAGCAGGGAGCCCGATGTGGGACTCGATCCTGGGACTCCAGGATCATGACCTGAGCCGAAGGCAGTCGCTTAACCAACTGAGCCACCCAGGCGCCCTTAAATGAGCATTTAAAGAATTGGTAGCTAGTGACTAGTATCCTCATTATCACAATTAAAACAAAATATATCCCCAAATAAAGTGTGTTGAATTACCTACTTTCCCCAACTTTCTCTTCAACTTTCCATATCTTTGCCAATCTCACTGGGAAGATGTGTTATTCATTATAGATTTAATTTGTGATTAATTTTATTATCCTTTCTACTTATTACTTTTTGATCGGTGAAGTAACTTTCCACATCACTCTGTAATAATTCACCAGGCTGCATATTTATGACTTGTCTACTCTTGCTTACAAATGTTTGTGACATTTATCCATATTGTGAGTATAGCTGTAGTTTATCCTTTGCATTGCTGCCTAGTATTCCATAATTTACTGCTCCATTCTGCTTTTTATGAACTGTTATAATCTTAACCAAGATGCATTAGTACAAAAGCATTATTTCTTCTTCTCCCATTCCCTCTTCAAATATTTTAAATAGTACAGTTGAATCTTTAACAGACATCATAGTAAAAGTCATTAAAATAGCATTTTATTTACGTATATGTTTTCTTAACTATTAGTATTATTTTAAGTATCTCTTTTTTATATTTGTATTTATTGTAGTGGCAATAGTGTAGGTTAATATTAAATTGATCTGGAATGGGAGAAGGAGCAGTGGTTAGGGAACAGGCTGCCCTAGCTTTCACAAGGGGGACTGTCTTTTGGTTTTTCAGAATAATGACACCAGTCAAAGAATACTTCCTGAAAACTTTTAACAAATATTCTATAAAGATGGAGTAAGAGCTGTGATTAAATGAGATTAAAACTGCATGATAGTTTTGGTTCTATCCTTATGATAGTGCTTCTCCTGAAGTCCTATCAAATGTTGGATATGTATTCTTCTTCATTTTATTGACTGCAAGACCTGCAGGCTTTTTTGGTGAGGTTGGTTTCCTCCTTCCTCCTCCCCCCTCCCACCCCAGAGACTGCCAGGATATTTATTTATTACTTTTCCTCTACTAAAGATCAAAATGTCATAAGACTAGCCACATCCTAATTCATTTGCACTATCCTACTGACACGTGTGTGTGTGTGTGTGCGTGTGTGTATATATTTTCAACTACTGTATCACGATTTAAAACAGGTAAATACTATCTCCTTCCACTTACCAAAATTATTTATTCCAGTATTCTGTATTCTCTCTCCAGAATTATTCTACCACTACTTTGGGTCAATGACACTACCATCTATTAAATGTTAGTACACTTGGGGTGCCTGGGTGGCTCAGTCATTAAGCGTCTGCCTTCAGCTCAGGTCATGATCCCAGGGTGCTGGGATCAGTCCTACATCGGGCTCCCTGCTCAGCGGGAGGCCTGCTTCTCCCTCTCCCACTCCCCCTGCTTGTGTTCTCTCTCTCGCTGTGTCTCTCTCTGTCAAATAAATAAATAAAATCTTTAAAAAATAAAAATAAAATAAATGTTAGTACACCTATCATTTCTTCCTTTTCTCTTTATGCAACATAAAGACAGTTGTTCATCATTCTCTTGCCCCTTTCCACATTTCTTTTACTTGATTGTCAAATTTCTAACTCTGACTGAAACCAGATCATTTCATGTTCATTGACAGCATCCAAGGAGAAGAACCTGATTGTAGAAAAAGCTAAACAGGCATGTTCACTGTTTTCATTCTAAGTGAACTGAGATCCTCATACATCTCAAATGGTGTATTATTTCTGTTAGGCAGACCTATTCTTTCCCCAGTGGATAAACTCTCCAAAATCCCAGGATGGCCACTTTCTCTCATCCAGTCTCTAACAACTCCTCCCCCTTTTTGTCAAACTGCCATCTATTTCCCAGAAAATAAAGAGACCAACAGAAGAAAGCAAACTCATTTTCTTTCAAAAAATAGTCCAACTCACCTGCCTCTGTCCTTACATTCTGCCCACACTCCTGTTACAGAAGATCCCTCCCTCTCTACATTATTCTTCATCTCTACCCAACACAAGTCTTAAAGCCTTTGTGAATAACTGCATAATGGGCATAACATCCTCTCAGACACTTATATTGATGCCCTTTGCAAGGCCAAAATAAAGAACCAATCTTGGTTAACTTTCAGCACAGTATTTCCCAAAGAGTTACTAATTAGCAATAGAAAAATATTAACAGAGCAGAAGTCACACACAAATGAAAAAAGTTATCACCAGTAATGGGATAAATAAAAATCATGCTCACCCTGAAATCATGCTCAGAAAAGGACAAAACATTACATCCTTGGTATTTCTGCCAAAAATACCTAATCTGAAACTAATCCTGATAAAACATCAGACAAATATAAATTGAAAAATGTCTTATAAACTATCAATTGCATAAAAAAAGGCTAAGGAAACATCAGATTAAGAGAGATTAAAGAAAAATAATTAAAGAAAAGGTAAAATCCTGGATTAAGTCCAGGACCAGATTTTTTTTTTTTCTTTTGCTGTAAGTGACATCAATGGGACAAAGGCCAAAATTTGAGTAAGGTCATTGCATTAGATATTAGTATTATATCAATGCTAATTTTTTTTAATTTATATAATTGCACTATGGTTAACAGAACATCTTTATTTTTTTCATCTCTTATCTGTAACTAAGAAAGAAAATTTTAAAAATTTTATAATAGACTAAAAATACGTTAAGATAGTAATAGAAAATTCAACAGGTTTTTAACTTGTTTGCTGTGGTAAGTGGAGGTTGACCTGATTCTGCACAACAAAGATACATACAGAACATCACCATTCTGAATTCTCTCGCAGTTCATTTTAAAATCATTTACTGAAACTGTCAAACATATGGTTTTAAATATGCATATTTTATATAGAAATTTGCTTGAAGCATTTCCATGTTCCTTGAATAACCATTATGTTTATATGCATAAACCAGGAAAGGTCTAATTGCTATTTGCATGGATTATTTACAGCTAAGTGGTCTATGAAGAAATGAGAGTTCATAAAAATGCTATTGTGTATGAAAACCAGTCTGTGTTGCTCATTTTAATTGGGTATAAGAATATCGGTTTATAGATTTTAGAAACAGCCGTATAAATATTTCTCACAAACAGAACAAAGGTTATAGAAGTAATCTGTCAACTAAATGCTTTAATAAACTTTTCTAACTGAATGTTTTATTTTCACAGAAAAATGTGTTTCCTGGTTTCCTGTCTCCAATAGGTCTATCACTGCATATATAAATATGCATTTTTAAAATTACTAAAATGCCTCTTCTATTTTGTAGAATTCACTTGTCATTTTATCTGATATTGTTGTAGTAATCAAAGACATCTAACATTGGTGGTCACCAGTGATATTGGGTTTTTTGTTTGTTTTTTGGGGCAAAAATATTAGAGGTATTTAAAAATACAGAAAAGACTAGTATATAGTTACTTACCCCAAGATATTCACACTCAAGGAGAACGGAAGACAAAATAACTTTCTTCCCTTAATATACTTTCTTCCCTTATTTTTTTTTTTTTTGTTTCAACTATGAAAACAAATGATTCTACTCTACTCTTTGATCTGAACATCAAAAGTTGTAATGGCATCATGCCTATAAGTTACGGGAGTCTTTTATTGCAAAATGGGCATAAAATCCTAGTCTAGTTGTGATTCTGCATAAATTTTTTATGCTCTACTTTTCTTTCAAAGGGAAAGTAAGTAATATTCTCTGGAGTAAGAAGTTTCTCATTGCTGCATAGGGACTAACAATGGACACTGAGAAGGATGTTCAATCCCAAAAGCAGCAGCCAGTCATATTAATCTGTGGAAAATGTCATAAAGAAAATGAAATAAAATCCAAGTATCCAATCAAATGCAGAAACTGTGAATACAGAATAATATACACAAAAAATACTAAAATTTTGTTGGTTTCTGATGCACAATGAAATATTTAGAATTCAGAGGAATATCTTAATTTATGTTTAAATTTGTCATTAATGTTTCTCATTGTTGTGCAGCCTTTGATTAGTATGTTTTCCTTTATAAATAAAATTACATTCACATAATCTTATTTCATTTCATTTTTATAACCATAGTTTACTTATCTATTCACATTTTATGTTAAGAAATTATTTTCGTTCAAGTAAATAACTTACAATTCTATTTCATATGCAATACATATGTATCACATATTATGATTCATATGCAATGTAAAGTGAAAGTTAAAATTGCTTCCCCAAACCAAGCTTTTAATCAAAACCTATAATCATCTGGTGCTCTTTCCAAAAAAAGCAGATTTCTAGGACTTTCTAGGCTTACTCACTGATTAAGTAAATTCCTTGAAAACTACTGTTGTACATTACCAACTATTTGTCAACGCTCTAGTATTATTTGATGTGGAGTACACCACATCATCAAGTATACATACTTAGTGTATGTATGCATACATAATTTTGAGTCCTGTTGTTCATTTATTCGTTGGTGTAGGCCTTTCTGTATTTCAGCATAAGTTTTCACAATTTTTAAAATTTTGGTAGAGGGGGCGCGTGGGTGGCTCAGTTGGTTAAGCAACTGCCTTCGGCTCAGGTCATGATCCTGGAGTCCTGGGATCGAGTCCCACATCAGGCTCCCTGCTCAGCAGGGAGTCTGCTTCTCCCTCTCCTGCTCCCCCCTCTTGTGCTCTTTCTCTCTCTTACTCTCTCTCGCAAATAAATAAATAAAATCTTAAAAAAAAAAATTTTGGCAGAGGAAAGAAACTTGAATGTTTGTGTTCTGTAAGGTAAAATCAACCTTAAGTAAAGTGTTAAACAGATTATTAAGGCAGATGCAATTTTCTATGTGTAATCATTCATGAAGCTCATGCTTTCAAAGCTGAAAGCTCTGCTCTCAGGATATAAAAAGATTAGGAATTGATTTATACTTAATTGTTGGATAAATATTGAATTTTTTGCCTTGATTTTAGGGACGTGGAATTAATGATCAAAAATATATTCCATCAGTTCTAGGATTCCTTCACAATGGGACATCACGTTGGCCTCCCTAACATTCATTTTAAAGATTAGACATATTCTAACTTTATTAATAGCTAATATTTATCTAATTCAAAAATGATCTCTGCTACTTTTTATAAACACCTATATCTATATTACCATCATGGTTTCCTAAGTTCTTCAAATTTTTATATACTATATGAAATACTATGATGTTCAGATTTTTTTTATTATGTTCAGTTAGCCACCATATAGTACATCATTAGTTTTTGATGCAGTGTTCAATGGTTCATTAGTTGTGTATAACACCCAGTGCTCATCACAATACGTGCCCTCCCTAATACCCATCACCCAGCTACCCCATCCCCCCACCCTCTCCCCTCTGAAACCCTCAGTTTGTTTCCGGGAGTCCTAAGTCTCTCATGGTTTGTCTCCCTCTCTGATTTCCCCTCCTTCAGTTTTCCCCCCCTTCCCCTAAACCATATGATAATTGTCTTTCTCTGCTTGACTTATTTCACTTAGCATAATCCCCTCCGGTTCTATCCATGTCTATGCAAACTGTGGGTATTCATGCTTTCTGATGGCTGAGTAATATTCCATTGTATACATGTACCACATCTTTATCCATTCACCTGTTGAAGGGCATCTTGGCTCCTTCCACAGTTTGGCTATTGTGGACATTGCTGCTATGAACATTGGGGTTCATGTGCCCCTTCTTTTCACTACATCTGTATCTTTGGTGTAAATACCTAGTAATGTGATTGCTGGGTCATAGAATAGCTCTATTTTTAACATCTTGAGGAACCTCCATACTGTTCTCCAAAGACCTCAATGTGAGGCAGGAATCCATCAAAATCCTAGAGGATAACATAAGCAGTAACTTCTTCAACATTGGCCACAGCAATTTCTTTCAAGACATGTCTCCAAAGGCAAGGGAAACAAAAGCAAAAATGAACTTTTGGGACTTCATCAAGATAAAAAGTTTCTGCATATCAAAGGAAACAGTTAACAAAACTAAGAGGCAACCCACGGAATGGGAGAAGATATTTACAAATGACATTACGGATATCCAAGATCTACAGAGAACTTCTCAAACTCAACACCCAAAAAATAATCCAGTCAAAAAATAGGCAGAAGACATGAACAAACACTTCTCCAAAGACATACAAATGGCTAACAGACACATCATAAAAAAATGTTCAACATCCCTAGCCATCAGGGAAATTCAAATCAAAACCACAGTGAGATACCATCTTACACCAGTTAGAATGGCAAAAATCAACAAGGCAAGATGTTCAAATTTTTAAAGAGTACTTCATTGGTCCAAGTTTTCTTTTACCTGTGACTTTCATAATTTTCTAATTCTGCTATATTCCTTTTTGACCTTGCCCATTTTAGACAGGGGAGTGCCAACATACATGATCTCTCTCTCTTTTTTAAAAATTTATTTATTTATTTGAGAGAGAGAGAGAGCATGCAAATGGCAGGGGGAGCAAAGGGAGAGGAAGAGAGAAGGAATTCCAAGAAAAGTCCCCACTGAGCACAGAGCCCAATGAGGGGCTTGATCCCACAACCCTGAGACCATGACCCCAGCAGAAACCAGGAGTCAGACATCCAACCAATTGCATCACCCAGGTGCTCCAATATCTCTTTATATTAGCCCCATAATTAAATAAACAAATTCCAACTCATTGGATAATATAGTTACAATTTTAACTTCTAATTTTATCATAGGCCTTTTATGGATCAATAAATATTCTTATTTGATTAACCAGACAGAGAGGTTTAATGGAAAACTATTATAACTGGAACTCAAGACCACTATTATCATTCAGTGAGTCAGCTCTTTGGGCCCCATTCATCTATAAAAAGGAAATAATTTTACCTCTTACCCTCATAGACAGTTTTGAGAAAATAGATATAAAATTGCTTTAAAGATTATTTTTGAATGGTGCTCTATACATGTAAAACGAGTAAGTTTGAGCTTGAAGTTAGCATATACATCATCTCTTAATACACTGCTAGGGACAATAGTGGACATTGTGAAAAAGGTGTCCACATCCATGGGAAAAGCACTGAATAAAGATGAGCTCAAATCCAGCCCTACCATTCATGATTGGCCAGTTCACTTCATTTCTTTTAACTTCAGCTTCATTATCAAAGTGGAAGAATTATGATGATCAGCACATGAAGGTAACAGTTCTTTTAAATTCTGAAGCTACCTTTAGAGATTGAAGTTATAAAAAATTCAAAAATAGCAGGTGAAATGAGAAATGGCCAGGCCAAAAAGAATAAAATACCATATAATGATAGTTGAGAAGGTAGACAAACAAGCTGCCTCCTTACATATGTCCACCCACACACCACCAACCCCTTCCTAGAATAAGTTCTATGTAGAAAGAGGAATTGGTATTTGAGCAGAAGGCTGAAGGGTGAAAAGGAGCTGGCCAGAGAAAAACAAGGAGAACGAGCATTCCTGAAATAGAGAAAGCAGAACGTTGTAAAGGCTCTGGAGCAGAAAGTAAGCTTGTCTTATTCCCACTTCAGAATGAAGCCCCTGTGACTCAAGCTTCATAAGCAGGGGATGTTGGGAGATGAGGTGGCTTTGTGATGGGCAGCCACTGGAACAGTAAGCAAGAAAGAGAGTGAAATAGTTGAAGTCTTAAAAGAATGCACACACACATGGTAACTACGTGAGGTGATGACTATGTTTATTATCTAGCTTTGGTAATTATTTCACAATGCATACGTGTTTCAAAACATTGAATTGTAGACCTTAAATAATATACAATTTTTATCAATTATGCCTCCATAAAGCTAGAAACAAATTTAAAACTACTGCTCTCAGCATCTGTTTTCTCTTATTAATTAATTCTGATTATTTATTTATTCAATAAACATATACTGAGCTCTTGTATAACACATAAAGTACTGTGGTAAGCCATGGCAATACAACTGTGAGTGAGACATGTCTGCATCCTGATTAAGAAATTTATAGATTGTTAGAGAAGATAAATAAGTAAGTAAGATATGTGAATATAGGTGTAAACAGAGGGTCTGAGCATATAGCCAAGGACACTTTTGAACCCTGTTTTGTAATTTTGCCCTTGTTTCATACACCATTCCAGAAATCCATATGTATCTTTACTATTAAGGAATGAAAAGAGCCAAAACTAGATAACTCATGTGAAGATAGATGCTAGGGGAAGAAACAAGCTGAGCCAATGATGGCCCAGTCCTTATATCATTTTTAATTTTAATTAATTAGAGAGGGAGGGGAGGCAGGAGGAGGGAGAGGGAGAGAGAGAATCTTAAGCAGGCTCAAGCGCAACATGGAGCCCAAAGCAGGACTCCATCTCAACACCCCTGATATCATCATCTGAGCAAAAATCAAGTCGGACACTTAACCCACTGAGCCACTCAGACTCCCACTTTTATCATTTTTAAAAATAACTGCTGCTGTCCCTGGTATAAAAAAATATGTAATTAGAACAGTATAATTACAGTATAAAAGCAGTATAATTAAGGAACAAAAGGTAATCTTTGACTATGCAGAGAAGAATATGTAAGGGAAGAAAGCAAATGATCAATTTGGAATTAAGATGTAAGTTTTCTGAAACAAAATGTATCTGTTTGATATTTAATGAGTTTAATTAGAATAATATTAGATGGAAAATATCATACCTATTCTTGAAGGTTAAATCTAAACTAGTCAAATTCCTTAGAGTAGAGGATTAACATATGATATGTCATAATATTCCCACACTCAATGCGTATTTCATAATCTGTATGCAAATGGATATCACTATTAAGATATTTTGCTTACAGGTGGTACATAATATAAAACTGTATGAAATGAAAGTAGCTACAAGCTGCTTCCATGTACAGATTTGGCTCTCTATTCAGCCAGCTATTCTCAATAAGCATTGCTTATATCTGTATTATACAGATAAATC